TAAAAGTCCTATTTTGTCAGACTGGATAAAAAAGCAAGATCCAACTACATATGTTGCCTATAAACAATTATAAAGACACAAACAGGTTAAAAGTAGAAGAATGGAAAAACATACCACATTAACACTAGTCAAGAGATGTGAAACTTTTACACTAAAGACTAAAAAATAACACTACTAAGAGAAATTAAGGAATATCTAAAAAAATGGGAAGATATATAGGTTCATGGGTTAGAATATTCAATATTATTAAGATGTTAATTCACCCCATTTAATCTACAGGTTCAATGCAATCCCAATCAAAATCACAGCCAGCTTTTTTTTTTGGTAGAAATGATTATAGAATTCATATGGAAATGCAAAGGACACAGAACAACCAAAAGTTTTAAAAATGAACAGAGTTAGAGGACTAATACTATTTAATTTCAAGACATTATAAAGCCACAATAATCAAGATGGTATGGTATTGACCTAAAGACAAATAGAAAACTGGAACAGAACAGAGAGTCTAGAAATAGACTCACACATATATAATTAATTGATTTTCAACAAGGGTCTTTTCAACACATAATGCTAGAACAATATGGTTTCAATATGCAAATAAATGAATTTAAATCTATACTTTGTGCATGACAAAAAAATTAACTAAAAATGGATCACAGACCTAAAACTATGAAACAGAAGAAAACACAGACAAAAATCCTGTGACCTTGGGTTAGGTAAAGATATTTTAGATAACACCAAAAACACAATGCATAAAAGAAAAACTGATAAACTGGACTTGATAAAAACTTCTGCTCTTCAAAGATCATTAACAGATGGAGACAAGCCACAGAGTGGGAGAAAATATTTGCAAATCATATTCTGATAAGGGACTTCTTTCTAGAATATATAAATACTGCTCATAACTCAATAATAAGAAAACTAACAATCTGATACAATGGGAAAAAAATTTGAACAGAGACCTCTCTATAAAAAAAGAGGGCAAAGAAGCACATGAAACGATGCTCAATATCATTAGTCATTAGGGAAATGCAAATTAAAACCACAGTGAGATACCATTACACACCCATTAGAATGGCTAAGATGAAAAACATTGACCATATCAAGACTTTGCAAGGATGCAGAAGAACTAGAAGCTTCATACGGTGCTGGTGGAAATGTAAAATGGTACAAATATTTGGAAAACAGTTTGGCAGTTTCTTAAAATGTTAAACAGACACCTACCCTATGACCCAGCTATTCCACTCCTAGGTATTTACCCAAGAAAAATGAAAGCATATGTTCATAAAAAGATTTGTACATGGATGTTCATATCAGCTTTATTTGTAATAGGCAAAAACTGGAAACAACCCAAATGTCCATTAACAGGCGAATGGATGAACAACTACGGTATAGCCATACAACGGAATGCCACAAGGGAATGCTACTCAGCAATGAAAACAAATGAACTATGGATGAATCTTGAAATAATCACGCAGGGTGAAAGAAGACAGATAAAAAAAAGCGTGTGTATGTAAGTATATATACATATATGTTATGTGTATATACGTACTGTATAGTTCCATTTATATAAAAGTCTAGGAAATGGCTAATCTACAGTGACTGAATGCAAATCAGTGCTTGTTTGGGGACTAGGATGGGGAAGGGGAGGGTTAGGAGGGAAAGATTCCAAACAGGCACAAGGAAACTTTTGGGTGATGTATGTGTTCATTATCTTCATTTTGGTGATGGTTTCATGGGTATATCCATGTGTCAAAAGTGATCATATTGTACATTCTAAATATGGAGAATTTAATGTACGTCAATTATATCTCAAAAAAGCCGCTACGAAAGGAGTATTTGTTTTCATTTTGAACATTTTTTTAGCATTCTCATTTTGGCAATTTATTTATGTATAATCTCAGACAATCTGAATAGTATATAACAATGTTAATTCCAACATTAGTTATTTGAGTTTCATCTGTGTATTATTCTCAAAAACTCCCAGCTGGTTTAAACATTTAACCTGCTCAAAAGAATATATATCCTGAGAGAATTTCCTTCTCTGCTTTTTCACCATCTATCATGAATAGTCTATCATTATAGATGCAATCTAACACTATCATCTTTCAGCTAATTACTTTATGTAATTATTTTCAATTTAAGTAATACATTTGTGAGGTAGAAAAAAGTAATCTATGGAATATTTCAAATTATAATACTTTATTTTCAATCTTAAGGGAAAAGTTATACAGTTTGGTCAGGATAAACCTTTTCATATAGGGTTACTGATTCTTCCTCCAAATGTCTTATGAAAATTTTTCAAACACACTCAAAAGTACAGAACTGGATAATAAACCAATATGCACCTGTCCCCCAGCTTCAAACATTACCAACATTTTGAGATTCCTGTTTTATTTACTGAGCCCTTTTCCTCCCTTTCATGGAATATTTTAAAGCAAATTCCAGGCATCATACCATTTCATATCACAAATATTTCAGTATTTAAGTCTTTTTCTCCAAGTAAGCCAAGAGCTTATTTTAAAATTGCTTCATACAAAGTTAATAATACTTCATTACAAGAACACTTAATTTCTTACATTTTCCTCCTATAACTTGTGGAGGAACGAATTCACATTTAGAAATTACTATTTCAATTAACTGACGTGCTCAAGAAGGTGGGTTTCTTTTTTTAAAAAAAAAGTAATACAAAGACATACATATATTCAAGTCTATACGTATTTTAATATTTTAATTTTTTTTGGGCCGGCCCGGTGGCGCAAGCGGTTAAGTGCGCGCGCTCCGCTGCGGCGGCCCGGGGTTCGCTGGTTCGGATCCCGGGCGCGCACCGACGCACTGCTTGGCAAGCCATGCTGTGGCGGTGTCCCATATAAAAGTGGAGGAAGATGGGCACAGATGTTAGCCCAGGGCCGTCTTCCTCAGCAAAAAAAAAAAAAAAAAAAAGGAGGATTGGCGGATGTTAGCACAGGGCTGATCTCCTCACAAAAAAAAAAAAAAAAATTTTTAATTTTTAGAAATATTTTTGTAGGTTATTCTGAAATTAAAAACAAACATGAGGGATCTATAATATGTTAGCCAACAGAGGTTCATGTCTTTAGTCATTCCTTTATTTATCCATCGATAGTTCCACCCAGAGGTGTGCTAGAGCTGCCTTACGGCAGTTTGAAAGAGGTGACCGGTAAATTTTTAGGAAATTTTGTGAGTTGGTTGTATTTAACTTAAAAACTATTTAAATTTACAATAAAAATTTTATTAAAAAAGGGAACAAATGCTCAAAACTCATCAATTTTAATGATTTTACTATTATCTATGCTCTTGAGTTTACACGTCTATTGTATCTGTTTGGTGGAAACACTAGGTAATGGTGTGGTATTGAGCATCTTTTCTCCACTGCGATGCCACTAATATGATGTTGGCAGCCTGAAGTTAGTCATGGTGGGAGTATTTATCCCACAGACATAAGCAAATGCTACAAAGCAGCTGTCTCTCACACTCCTGCCTGGAAAGCAGGTTGTTAACATTTACCAGCACAACACTGTTTTCACCATGAGCATTAACCAGGTGTCAGGTACTGTAGTAATATGAAATATTTCTGGTCTTTTGAAATTTGAGCATAAAGATGCTCCTAATGTTACAGTGTTAAAAGACAAATATGAACAGGTCCTTAAGAAAACAAAGAATATATGGTACATATTAATAGCTTTTAACCTATGTCTTTAAAAATCCCTTTACTATAAGATTCAAAAGTTTTAAAATATTAACATAGAAAAACTTACTATGCTGAAACTCAGAAAATAAAAGGAACACTAGTGAGGCGGCATCTTCGGTTTTAATACTTAAATTTCAGAAGTAAAGAAAAATGTAATTAGATGTTGGCTTTAAGTAAGAGGATTAAAAATACTATGTAAAATGTATACATGTTTTTTAAATGATATAACACTAAGGAAAATAAGAAACATGAATCGGATTTTTAAAAAATAAATATAACTTATGAACTATGATATCCCAAAGAATGTAAGAGCTGAAGTGTATACCAAGTTAAATGTGTTTAATAGATAGGTGATTTTTGGGCTGGCCCGGTGGCGCAAGCGGTTAAGCACGCGTGCTCTGCTGCGGAGGCCTGGGGTTTGCCAGTTCGGATCCCAGGCACGCACCAACACACCGCTTGTTAAGCCATGCTGTGGGGGCGTCCCATGTAAAGTGGAGGAAGATGGGCACAGATGTTGGCCCAGGGCCAGTCTTCC